GAGGAGACCAGGAGGCAGCACCTGCATTCGGACATCAACGCCGGGAAGCACAACTACTGCAGGTCTGAGTTTGGATCTTTGAAGTTTCACATTCCTTTTGCAAAATGTTGGATAGTTGGAAGAAAAACAATCGAAATCGAATAATCTAAACACCAAACATTACAGTTCATGCTACAGATTCCAGTTTTGTGACCAACTAGTCTCAGCAATCAGAGACAGTGCTCATATCAAACCTGTCAGTGTTAGCAGAGACGCTTAGAAAATGTTTTCAGGTCTTTCATGGCCAGATTCCATCATTTATACTCCAACCATTTGCATATGTTTGTCAGGACTGTTTGTTTACTTGGATGGTTTGTTTTTTGTTTTTTTTTATTCAGAAATCTTCACTACAGACGTCGTCCGTGGTGTTATGTTTGGAAAAACCTGCAACTGGTGTGGGAATACTGCGATATGCCGCTTTGCAATTTCAAGCCACGTAAGTGTGTTCTCTGATGGGACTGTTGTTAAAGTCAGTGAAGCATTTTTCATTGATGGTGCATCAGTCACTGCAGCAAAAGGAGCCAAAGTTATGGGGACCAGGAGGGAGAATAAAAGTCCAAGAGTATAGGGGTTTTTCCAAATGCAGATGAAAATGTAACTGAATTCTGGAAAATTGGCAAAAAAAAAAAAAGTTAAATAATCTCTTATTTTGTTTAGAAGGGCGTAAATATATTTTCTCAGCAGTTCTTTAAGTCTCACTCTGCTCTGGAGACTTTGAGACTTAGAGTATATAAAAAATCTCCAATGAGAATTTAAAAAATAACTTAACTTAATAATTTAAAGGGTTAAATGTTCTTTGAAAATCAAATCTTTAGCATTAAAAAAAAAACAATTTCTGTCTTATAGCTCCACCTGCGGCTCCACCTGTGGCTCCACCTGCGGCTCCACCTGTCCCCACCCAGCCAGAGCACGGTGAGTCCTCACTAACGCCTGTGAATCCCGTTCCTCGCTTCTCTCAGCGACACTTTTCAACTTTTTTTCATTTTCCAGTTGCAGAGATGACGACATGTGGCCAGCGCACCAGAAGAAAGCAGCTGAAGATCGTTGGCGGAACAGTTGCCACTGTGGAATCCCACCCGTGGATCGCTGCCATATTTTGGCGCCCTAAATCCAGAGAGAAAGTTTTCCGCTGCGGGGGCAGTCTGATCTCCGCCTGCTGGGTCCTCACAGCCGCCCACTGCTTCCCCGACGGGTAGGAAGTGAGACCATTTACTGGAAATGCAGCAGGTGCTGAGAAATAGCTGTGACTGGACTTGTTTTGGGAATTTGTGTTTCAGAAATAACACCAAAGCAGAGCGCTTCACCGTCACCCTGGGGAAAAACGCCCTGAACGAGAGCAACCCGAGCGTGGAGCAAAAGTTCAGGGTGGAAAAAATCTTCATCCACGAAGGGTTTGATAACACCGAGGGGAACTTCAACAACGATATTGGTGTGAACACGCAAGTTAAAACATCTTTTAATCAAGCAGAGCGTTACTCCAGCCTCACTGCCCACAGCTGCAATGCATCTGCAAGCTGCTTTGCAACCCACTTCCACCCCAGCTGTTGTTCTGTGCGTTTTACTGTCAGGTGCCAAAACATCCACCAAATAGAAGTTACGACAGTTAGAAATAACACTTATCTTTGACTATAATTTAAAATATGGAAAAAATATATATTTATAGCAATACGTGCTGGGTTTTTTTCTCAAAACACTTGAAAAGAATGTTCAGATTTTAGTCTGTTTGCCTCTATCTGTTAACGAAATCTCAACAAAGAGACACTCATCCGTTTTAAAAAACTTGGTTTAGGGGTTAATGTCTTTTTAAAATAATACTTGGCTGCTTAACACCGAGGCTGATGCTGCTTCAGATCATTTCCCATTAAAAGGGAGTTCTTCCTCCATACTCTCAGCAAGTGCTGCTCAAAGGGAATCATGTGATCAAGTGTCTCAAATGGTGTCGTGATTCCTGACGGAGACATAAATTCCAATTAGGGTTGTGTTAGGAAGAACATCTGGTGTAAAAACTCAAACGTGGAGCACTTTGGTGACCCCTTGTGGCTTTTTTTTTTACCTTACTATGGAAACGCTTGGACCCTAAGAAGAATCTTAAACCAGCATCCCACATTAGATGCATTTTACGATCTAGTTACCTGACAAATTTAGTCATTCTGCAATAAGATTTTGGAATTCGCTTGAATTTCAGAGGCCTTGTTCTTAAAGCTGTAATTCAATCAAAGGTGTGATTGTTGATAATTGTCTTGCAGCTCTGGTGAAGCTGAAGACCAAACTTGGTAAATGTGCTAAGGAGAGCAGCACTGTGAGGACGGTCTGCCTGCCGCCACCTCAGCAGAGCCTGCAGCCAGGATTCACCTGTGACATTGCCGGATACGGGAAAGAAAGTCACGGTGAGGAGAGTCCTCTGATTGTTCTTCCATCTGACAGAAACAAACGTATATCAAATATTACACCTGTAAGTGAAGCCTGAAGCAAATCGAACATTAACTACTTGCAGATTTATGCGTTTGATCCAATAATAACTTTTGTGCTGTTTCAAGTTGAGCTGATCTGTCCACTGAATGTTTGCACACCGGCTACAAAGTCGGGAATCATTGACACACTCTGAACTTTGTGCTCATTTTTCTTTTGTTATGGGAATGTTATTGGAAGCCTTACAAAGACAAGTCACCAGGTATCAGTGTAGCAGAACAAGTGAAGGAAACAGAGGCTCATTTAAAACGCCTAATTTCTGTAACCGCAGCACATAATTATAATTATGTTCACCCTTCAGGGCTTTAACACTCCTCTTCTCTCCAGCTTTGTGGTACAGGTCTCAATACCTAAAAGAGGCTCAGGTGAACCTCCTCGCCGACAGCGTGTGCCGAGGGAAGGATTATTACGATGACATGATTACTGATAACATGTTTTGTGCCGCTCGTCCCGACTGGAGTCAGGATGCCTGCGAGGTATTTGCACACGTCTGGTCTCGACTTTGATTCCAGAGGTC